CGGCCTCCTGGGCAGCCTCTGCGCTCCGGGTGGTGTGGGCCCGGCCCCCGCGAGCCCTAAGACTCTCGGCTTCGCGCCGCCCTCCTGCGCCTCCGCAGCGCGCTGAGGGTTCTGCTCCCCGCACCCCTGCACCCCGGACCCCGCGCTCCGCACCCCTGCCGCCCTCCGAGGCCCGAGACTCCCAAGCTCCGCGCCCCTCGGTGCGCCGGGCCCCTGTGCCCCTATCCTCGAGCGCTGCTCCTCGCGCCCCTGAGTCCCGGACCCGGAGTGCCGCTGTGTTCCGAGCCCTGTTCCCCGCGCCCCTGCACTCAGGACCCCCCGCGCGAACCCCGCCGCCCTTCAAGGCCCAGGACTCCTCTGGGTTCCGCGCTGCCCACCTGCTCCCCCGAGCTCAGGGCCCTGCATCCCCGACCCGCTGCCCTCAAGGCCCAGGACCCTCCAGCTCCTCGCCCCCTGTGCCTTCCCGGCTCCGCTGGCTGTCCCTCCAAGCCCCAGGCTCCCTGGGTCTGCGCGCCTAGCCCCAGCCTCTGAAGAAGCATCTCCAGCTTCATCCCAGCCACAAAAGGCATCCTGGCCTCGCAGCCAGATTTCTGAAAACTTTGTCAGAGGGAACTACATAGTTCTCAGTAGACATGTGGACACCCCACATTTCCCGACTCCGTGGCCCCAACTTCTGTTTCTGCAACGCCTCTGACTTTGTTTTTGAACTACTTTACGCTTCAAAATAGAATGTGAGGGATCAACACAAGAAAGCGATGGGGGTAGACGTGGTGGGAAGGCTAGACCACGTGGACAAGTTTTAGAGGAACTCCTCCCCACACACACAACCCCCAGGAAATTGTAAATCAGATTTGACTGGTGGTCCACATACGTCAGTTGTGCTGTGTGACCAGAACCAACTGAGACACTCTGGACTTTAGATTTCTGATTTATAAAATGCCATGGGGCTTCATAACTGTCTTCCAGTTCTAACATTCCTAGATGAACTTTGGTGAAGTTTTCCCCATTTTCTAGTTATCCTACTAATGAGAAATTAGGTGCATACTCAATATTCCATCAGGTAAAAAATGGAATTACCTCAGTATTCATCAGATAAAAAAATACATATTTTTTACTCATACTGAATAGTCCATCACGTAAAAAATTATTTCTATGCCCACATCTCTGGCAAGCACTCCTGAAGCACACCAAAACGGGAGTCTCATCTTTCTGTACGAGAAAATCTCATTCAAATGCCCAGACAATGGCGAAGGAAAAGTCTTAGCTCTGCAGATACAGAGACAAGCTCAACAAACACCAGTGGAATACCCTTCACTAGAGGGTAGCTGGGGGGAGCTAGGAACGGCTCAGTAAGGTTGCTTACCAGACAAACATGAGGACCCGAGTTTGGTACCGAGCACGCATGTAAAAATAACACTGGCTTTTGTCTGTAATCCCAGGACTGGGAAGATGGTGACCAATGGCCCCCTGGATGTTATTGGCTAGCCACCCTAGCCAAATCAGTGACTACCAGGTTCACTGAGAGACCCTGTCAAAATAAAATAAAAATTAAAAAAGTGAGGGGGCTGGAGAGATAGCTCAGTGGTTAAGAGCGCTGGTGGTTCTTGCAGAGGACCCTGAATGCTTGGTGGCTCACAACTATCCCTAACTCCAGTTCCAGGGGGTCAGTCGCTCTCCTCTGGCCTCGGTGGGCATTGCACGACATGGGTGCACTTACATACATGCAGGCAATGTACTCATACACATAAAATAATAATATATATATTCTTTAAAAACGAGGTGGGGAGTGACTGGGGAAAACATCTGACATTGACCTCTGACTTCTGCACACATAGCACACTCACAGGTGGACGAATACCCTCCCTCCATGCATGGACATGGCTACAGGAACACTTACATACCGCACAAGCACAAGTGCAAAAGAAAACAGGCCTGGCAGAGAGGCAAATGTATTTATCAATTAGGAAGGATTTAAATTCATGATAAGAATCAGCTGTGGACAGGACAGAGCCGTGTTGGTGCAGAGGTGGCTCTATAATCATTCCCTCAACTAGAATGGGAGTTCCATGTAGGTAGGGTCACTACTTCTGCCCAACCTATACCAGCAAGTGTGCAAACACATATTTGATGAATAAATCGAATGGAAACGACCCTAAGACAACTAGCGCAAATTGGATCTAATACCCAGCCTCCCAGGATTGTTATAGAAAGATGTGAAAGGACTTTGAAAATATCAGTCGATCTGAAAACTGTTTTTGTTATATAACCCTTAGTACCAGGAGAATTGTTGAGAAAAATCATTGCTAAGAGATTTTGAATTCTTTATTGCAATTCCTTAAGGCTAGAGACTCAGAAATAATTTGAAAATCAAGAGAAATGAACTGGCCAATTTTTAATGATTCAAGAATTTTGCTTGGGGGCTGGAGAGATGGCTCAGCAGTTAAGAGCATGGGCTGCTCTAACAGAGAACTGAAATGGTTTCCAGTACCCACATGAGGAGGCTCACAACTGCCTATAATTCCAGTTCCAGGGGATCCAACACCCTCTACTGGTCTCCATAAGCACTGCATGCCTGGATGAACTAACATACATGTAGGAAAAACATCGATATGCATAAAAATAAAAGCAAATCAAAATAAAATAATCTTTAAAAACTGCAAATCTAAAGCCGGTGTGGTGGTGCATGTCTATAATTGGTGCCAGTGCTCAGGAGGCAGAGGCAGAAAGATTACAAGTTCAAGACCAGCCTGGTCTACACAGTGACTTCCAGGCTGGCCAGGGCTATGTACTAAAACTCTGTCTCAGAAAAAGAAACCAAAACAATAAGGATGAATCTGTTGGTAACTGTAAGTAGTTCAGAGTAGCTGAAGCACAGATCTCTTCTTAGAAGCAGCAGGAACTGTTTCAAGGTAGGCACAGGACAGATCTCTGAAAGCATTGCCTGTTATACTAGGAATGTTGGCTTTTATCCTGGAAGCAACAGAGAAACATTCAAGAGTTTAAGAAGGTGACCAATGAACTTAGGTCAGCATTTCACAAAGATCATCCTTTCTCTGCAGTAAAAAGATGCATTGAAAGGGTACAAAATATTACTGTCAGCCTGGCTTAGCAATACATACTGATTGTCCCAGCCACCAGAGTGGCTTAGTCAGGAGGATCACTTGAGGCCATTGGTTCACTACAACCTGGACACCATAGTAAGAGCTCTACCTCAAACAAAACACAACAACAACAAAAAATCCATCTTAGTGTCTTAGTCCATTTGTGCTGCTAAAACAGTATCACAGACTGGGTGATTGATTGATGATTGATTGATTGATTGATTGATTGATTGACAGAACATCATTCCAATGCCCAGACAGGTCTGGGACTCACTATGTAGCCTAGCCTTCCCTCAGACTCACAGCCTGTTCTTGTGAGTTTTCTCCCCCTGGGCTGGGATTAGTATAACCCACTATGCCCTGCTTAGCCTGGGTTATTTATAAGGGCTTTCTCATAGCTTTGGAGGTTAGGAAGTCCAAGATCAAGACACCCACTTCTATTGGAGGCTATTCTCTACTTTCAGGGTTAGATGTTATATGCTGCAACGAGGGGAAGAAGAGGCAGAAAGGCAAAAAGCAGACAGATTCACCCCATCAAGCTCCTTCACCAAAGGCAAAGTAATGGTGAGTGCTAACTGAATCTAGAATCACCCAAGAGATGGACCTCTGGGCATGCCTGTAGGGGATTACCTTGATTGTATTAATTGATGTAGGAAGCCCCATCTTGACCCTGGGCAATACTGTTACCTCAGTAGGGGAATCCTGAACTGTATAAAAAGGAGAAAGTGCCAGCCTGGTCTACATAGTGAGTTCAAAGCCAGCTAGGGCTAAAAGAAGACCCTGTCTCAAAAAGACAAAAAAAAAAAAAAAAAAAAAGAAATCGAGCTGAGCGCGAGGAAGTTTTCGTTGTTATTTCCTGACTATGGATGCCCTGTGTATCCAGCTGCCTTGACTCTCCCCACCCATTAAGTATTGTACCAAAATAAACTCTTCACTAAATTGCTTTTGTCAGGGCATTTTATCACAGCAACAGGAAAAAAAAATCAAGACAGCACCGATTTCCATTCCTATAGGAGGATGTCCTCAAGGTCTGATAATATATTAAAGGCCCCACCTCCTAAGACTATCATAATGATACCTGAATTTTGAAGGAGGTACATTCTATATCATAGTGAAATGGGTTCTAGATCATAGTGAAATGGGGAGAAAAAGAGTCCCCTAAGAAGGTTCTCAGTCTCATTAGTAAAAAGAATTTAAGAATGGACCCAAATAGAAGATTTAGGCCAATTTTATTAGAATTTTAAAGAAAAATCTTCAGGGCAGGCAAGCTGGTAATCTTGGCAGCTGCCGTGAGGAGGAGAATGGAGGGGAGAAGGGAAGAAAGCCATGGAGCCATGCAGGCTTAGAGCCTGCATGGAGGTCAGACATGTGGCTGACTGGCAGTCACATAGCTGGGAGAAGGAAGCTTTAGAGAAGAAGTAAAGAAATACAAGATGGTAGGGGCAGCCCAAAGCCTTAAAGAAAGCATGTTTAGAAAAGGGATATGGAGAAGAAAAGGAGAGATTACGCTTTTCTGAAGAATTCAGAAATCTGGGAAGACCTGCAGACTACATGACTGTGGCTGGTCCAGAAGGTCTGCACTAGGGGGCAGGATTCCAGGCAGGAAAAATTCGCTATCTCATTAATGCACTAGGTATTCTGCCCA